CCTATGAGTGAAAAGCTCCCTGCACTCCTAGCAGAGCTGCGCGGGCAGGGCCGCAGAGGCCGACTCGCGCCAAGCTTTGTTTCGTACGTTTGCTAAGATACAAGGTTAGGTGCGAACCGACGGGCACAAATCCAGAATCAAATCATCGGCTGCAGCGACGTCACGGCTGTCATGAGTTCAGCTGCAGCGGAGAGGACCCCGCCTCCACCGCCCGCTGCGCCTGCTGCTGACCGGAAGAGCCGAGGGGGCCCCAATCGCGGAGCTCCTGCAGCTGCTCGAGCTGGCGCAGAAAGAAGGTCTGTCCACTAAGAGAGGTGGTGAGGTGCATCGATAGAACCAATCCGTCAGGTGGAGATGAAGCAGGAGTGAGGTTGGCAGATCGAGTTGCCTTGATTCACCAGATCTTTTCCAGCCCACCGTTTTCGCACGTGCTAAATGCGGGAGCAGTGGCATTTGTCAACTAGGCAGGGAGCGGCAGGGAGTGTTTGCAAAAAATGTGAACGCGACTCCGCCAATGCGAACTGCAGCTCTCACACATGCCATGCTGAGTGCTCGAGACAACTGAGTAGGGTTCACGATGTTGATATTTGGGGGCCGATGCGCCTGGGGACTCAAGTGAGATATGTGCCTCAGCAATGTAGCTCAATGTAGCTGCCGCGTGCTCCCGTGTGGCCATCTCGAAAAGTTCTTGCAGTCAGTGTCGAAGTGTTCGGTTATCGCTGCACTGGGTTGACGAAATTTGGGCTCTGCACGATTCAGGGGGACTGCTGACTGAGGGGCGGGCATAGATACGTGCAGTTACCATGCTGCTATTGATCTGGTGCTCGTGGTCGTAAAGCAAGTGGAAAATCGGATGTAGCATGTGGATTACTTCAAATTGGGTTCCGAAGGGTCGGTTCTTTCAAGTCAGCCGTGTCTTCTTAATGCGTACGTGTCGAGGCCCGACCAACACTGAATTCAGTTGTCTTCGTCTTTCGCTGATGGCCAAGCTTGTCTATAGGTTTCGTGCGCGGCAGAGGCGCGCAACCTCCAGGTTAGCAGCGGTCTAACCTTGCACGGCGCCGGCGTGCTTCGGTATCACTTGACGGTGCAGGTGAACTGCCTCGCGCATCATCTGACTTTACGTTTGTAACTAGATGTGCTGCACTAAACTCGACAACTTCGACGGCAAGCATGGTGATCTTGGTGATCATAAGGTGGGAGCATGCACGCTACACTAGGTACTAGGCATAGTGTCAGCGCCAGCAATAGTTTCAGCATGATAGCATAGGTTGACTAAGTCGTGTCAACACGACATTGGAATGTAACACAAACCTTGCTAAAGCTTCCAAGGTCATTCATGGACAGAGTTAGCCTTTGGACGTCGAGATGCATAGGCTAAACAGCATCCGCTTGGTAACAATGCGCTGAGTCGGAATGATAACCATCATCTTATTATTCTTCGATTCGCAACGTCTGGTTCTGACGCCTTGACTTGGCCCGGCACCCGTTTTCTGGGACGCTGTGCGTTTCAGCTTATGCGTAGTCCTTCCCTGCATCACTTCTGCCCCCTGGCATTTGCAATCATCGCCATCTTCGCCGGCACTTCTGACCAAGACGTTCAGTTGTTGCCAACAACATGATACTCTTCGGCGTCGCGTTGCCACCGCATGGCCGCAAGTATCGTCATCCCGCCATCATCACCATCATCAGGACCAGCATCGGCATCAACATCATTTCCAACATCACACGGTCATCTATTTTCAAACCTATCACAACCGCCATCATCTTCTGCATAATCCTTGTCGTCCTCCTAGTCGTCCTCGTCCTCGTCATCATCATCGTCATCACCATCATTAGCATCATGATAGCTGAACATCTATCCTTCCCACAACCAGCGTGAGAGTTAATAACGTAAGTAACATGCAAGCCCAATGATGTGGTCCGGCCACAGTCGTGGGACAGCCTGCTGTCAGCGGGCCTGGAATCTCTTCTAGCTTTGCAGTTGAGATTTGCCTGGCACTTGTCGGGGTCTCGAAGGCGACAGGGGTGAAAAAGAGAGACCGGAATGATGTGGGATGTGGGTTCAGTACATGGTATTTAGGGTGCCTGGAAGCTTTCACACGAGCCTTTGGCCGTGCATGAAAATCTGGTTCAGTCCCGAGTGGTGGGCTCGAACACTTTCAGGCATGTCGGTCTGAGCCTCCAGGCCAACCCAAGAGGGGACTTCATATCATAGGGGCAATTGCTTGAACATCGTACTTCATCGGCAGTTACGGCGGGTACCGGAGCTTAATTGCTCCCGTATCTGTAGTTACACCAGGCTACTGAAGACAGTTTTCGCATGCATGAGTTCAGCCACGATGTGAAGTCTATTGAGCCCTGGATTCGGATTCCGATAACTCCGAGTAGAGATTTCTTGGTCGGCACCAGCCTCATCGCGGCTGCCCTTGCACTTGTTCCCCAGAGGCTTTCATCGAAAAAGTGCCTGCCAGGCATCGAGGAGGCCCGACAACTGCAGGCGGAAGCAGAGCGCACAGCCAAGCTGGCGCAGCGGGAGCCCGTGCACTCGCTTTCATGGCTTGTCTGTGTCTGGAGGGCTGCTCATGCTGCTCTAAATCAGGATGTCTTTGTAAACTAAACCTAGTGCAATAGTAGATTCAATAGCCGGTAATCGTAGCAAGGATCGCAGAAGCAAGCATAAGTAGTAATTCAGATGCAGCAAGCCCCAAGCATCGAGAACTCTACATCTGATCTGATGCCACTTGCAGAATGCAGCAGCAGTAGATTAGATGGTGGTTTGTGTATGATATTTTACAGTCACCTCAGGACCTAGTTGTTCCTCCAAGCCTTGGATATGTAGGGTTGACGTTTCAGAACGCCTCTCAGCAGTTTGATGCGGTTTCCGAAGATGGTTTGAGAGACTGCAGTGACGGTTTTAAATCCCCCTTGAGCATTCGCACACACGACATCTTATGTTCCGGTCGGGATGCCTAAGCCATGAGCATCGATTCTTCGGATGCAAACGAGCCCGTCCACAGCTCCAAAATCCTGAAGCCATGGGTCCTATTTCCTCAACGCCTGAAAACCCTCAAGCCCACTGAAGACCGCAGGACGCGCGGGAGGCCCGGCAAGAACGAGACAAGGCCATCCAGCAGCGGAAGGAAGCCGAGGCCGGCTAAACAGAAGGATGCAGAAGGGATCGAACAAAATCAAGGACAGTGAAATCAGTATGAAACACTGAGCTGAGATAGAATCATCATCGGCCATACAATTGGTAGTGTTGCAGTAAGGGCAGTAACTAGAATGCGAGTTTTGAGTGACAGCAACGAGAACAGCGGCAATGAACAAGCACTGACTGACATGCACTCTTTGCTTCGCCGCTGTGCCCCCACAGCTGTGTAATGAGCGCCGATACCCTGGACGGACAGTTTTCGCATTTATTGGGAGCTTTGCCTTGTGGTTTCCGCAGGAAGCGAAGCGCGTAGCCGAGGCTACGGGAAGCACTTGCATGTCACCTTGTCGTGCATTCGCTCTACGTGACTTTGAGAAGTTTTCGAACCTGATCTTCTGGCCTCTGCAGTCCTCTTCGTGGGTTGTCTGCGAAAGTTAGTGCAGACACTGCTTCCCGGTGATTCTGTACCAGCTTCGGACCTGGGGTGCTTCCTAGGAAGAGCGCGATACAGCGCGAAAAGCTCAAGAAGATGCAGAAGCTTCCGAAGCTTACGCTGGGTGCTTGGCAGTGCAAGGCTGCTGTTGTGCAGGTCTTGTGCAAGCCGCACATAGCACAGAGACTGAGCGCACTGCATGAGATTCAGGCCAAGCAACAAGCAGATGTCTTCCAACAGGTTGGTTTTGCGATTCTCTGAGCTGTAGCTTCGGCTGGCTGCTTGCTGCCGTCCTGCTGCCAGGCGAGGATAAAAGCAGAGATGAGGCAAAGGAAGGCCGAAGAGCAGGCTCGGAGTACTCGGGCATGTGGTAGCACCCCAAACCGGATTGAAATCAGAAGTTTTTGTGACAGATCTCGCAACATCCGATGGTTCCAGTTGTTCGTGCAACCTCTTGGAGGTCAGGAAAAAGCAGAGGAAAGTGCAGAGTTTGCAACGTATGCTCGCAGAAATTGGTGCGAGGCTCAGCAATTCGGGGTACAAGCTTTCGAGCTGCTTCCTCGCAGTTTCGCTGTCTGCTGATGGCGTTTGACGAAGCCTTGGCAAAAGGAGCTGAGAGCGACAGTGATGCACCTCCGGATGAAAGAGCACCTGCCTTCTTCGTGAATGAGGATGGAACGAAGGCGCTGGTGACTTTGCATGACGCTGACAGCCTTGTAGTTTAAGAGGTATGCCAAGTTGTTGCAGGTGGTACAGGGTTGCCGATGTCATCAATGCAGGTGCCACGACCAAGGACAAGAAAAGAGCGGATGGGCCTGGAGCTAAGGGCCTAAACGAGGAGCTTGGCTGCGCGCACGAGGTGTCAAGTAAGTGTCTTACACTGTCCTACAGCCTCCGAGCCAGTCGAGGCATGGCCTTCCGGGAGGCCGAATCTGCTCGCTACGAGCTGCGGCTGGGCATGGCTGGGGTCCCTGTTCTGTCTCTCGCTATGTCCTGCTCCTGTCACGGCTTGGGCTTTAGGGGCTATTTTCGGATTTATTGCATCCGTTCCCTGCTTGACAAGTGATGATGCTTGCCGATCCCATGGCCCGGATCTTGCTTAACACCGCTGTTTCCTTCATTCTCTTCGGCTCAAGTCACGTTCTCCGCCCATATTGAAGCGCGGCCAAAGGCTGCCTAGAGCCGGAAGTACCCGTTCTTGTACTCGCGCCTCAGCTTCCGAGCCGGAATTGCCGGGTGCAAGAAAGATGTAAGCCGTCCTTTCGGGTACTTCCGCAACAGTTGTGAGCTCATTGAGCTCAGTCGCAGTCGATTGCCCGGCTCTCGGACATCTGCGCTCTCGCTCAAGCGGTGCAAACATCGTTGAAGTGGCTTCACTCAGGTCAGAGTGCCTCTTGCCTGGACTTTGTCGCCATGGCGGCCACCTGGCCCATGGTTCTGTATGAAGAAATGCTACCGATGATCACTGAGAGTCTTGGTAAGAGCGAGGTGACCTTCGTGAGTTTGCTCCTCCTTTTCCTGGTCGAGGGGCTGGGGCTGAAATTTTCTGACAAGCAGGACCGCAGCAGCTTGATGTAGCTGGATGTTGCGTTGGCGGGATGTTACCTTGACGAGTCAGCACACCTGCCCAGGCCTGTTACAATCTGCACGTAGGGCTTTAGTGTCGGTCGCGAGTAAAGGCGACGGATAGACGCAGCCTTTCTCCGCTCCTTCTGCCCTGCAGCGAGGACTTCGACTACGACCATTTGCAAAAGAGTTTCTTTACCGCACTTTGACGCTGCACCGTCGGTTTGGATGCAGCTCAAAAGCTTGTGTTTTGCGAATGGGCAAGGCATTGTGCGTATCGAAACGGTCGGAGCGAGCTTCGACTGGTGCGGCGCTTGAGAGCTTCCGGCTCAACGCAGGACTGGCACGGTGTGTGCATTACAAGGTTTTGTTTTACAGGTATCCATGCGCAAACACCTAGCTAAGACCACAGCACAAAGCAATGTAGACATTGGTACTAGGTGATGAGTTGGCGATGGCGGTACTAGTCCTGCTACTTGTAGTGCTTGAGCAGTGTTCGCTCTTCGGCAGCTCCGAGGTTTCGGCCCTTCAACCCAAGAGACGGCCTCGTAAGCCTTGGAAGCGGTTTCATCGCAGCCGCCCTGGGGGCCTTGGGGACTTTCAGAACTGAGCTGGTTATGTACTTCCGCGACGTGCGCGCGACAAGGTCCAAACGGAACCGTACATCTTGATCGCTACGAACCAGCACGTGGCACGTTGGCACTGGAACTTGTGGACTGCGTGTTTCGGAGATTGGCGTGTCTCTGAGCCGCAATGCTAGGTCATTAATGATGCTTTGCGAGTGCAGATTCAGCTGCTACTTCACAGCCAGCGCCCCTGACGCTTCCGGCAAGAGCTGTTCTTCTTTCACGCATCATGCTGCTCCGGAAGCAGGTCAGGCGAAGTGGGACGTCAACATCGTGTCTGCATGCTGCAGCCCCGGTCAATTCCAACTCCAGGCCAGCGGCCGGTCAATGCAAGCTTGAACTCGACGAACACTTGGAGCCTTCGAGCTCTTTGTCTTTGTGGATCCGATTTCTCAGGTCCCAAGTTTGATCTCGCTCTGCTCACCCTCAAGTCCGACAAGGTGGAAGCACCGGCCGCGCATGCTGCATTGCAACAGTTCTGCCTTCATGGAGCGCCGCAAGCTCGAACTGGGCCTCGGGGAGGAGTAGAAGTGGGACTAAGAGTAGTAGGAGTTGGAGTGGGAGGAGTAGTGGTTGGTGGAATAGTAGCAGTAGCCAAGTAGTAGCAGGAGCAGTCGGAGGTCGGAGCAGGAGTAGGAAGACAACCGCCCTGCAGGGATGTGGCAAACCTAGTTGGAAGGGGGAGGCGGCCAGCAGCAGTAGCAATAGTAGAAGTAGTAGATTAGTATATAGAAGTAGTAGAAGTAGTAGAAGTAGCAGTAGTAGCACTAGTAGTAGTAGTAGTAGTAGTAGTAGTAGTAGTAGTAGCAGTAGTAGCAGTAGTAGTAGTAGTAGTAGTAGTAGTAGTAGTGCATCATGCTTTCGATTGCGACTGCGTTTCCTTTGCCTGTGGCAGGAGTTCAAAGCCGACCTGGCCAAGGCAGGAATCCAACTGGAGGCGTTGACCTTGCCGTGGACCCAGTCGCAGTGCAGACCCTGTCAATTGATTGACGTGCTCAACGAGCTTCACAAGGGGCCCCTGGCAGAAGGAATGTAGATCCTAGCGGGTTCACTTCCGCAGGTGGTTTTCGCTGTTTCTGTGCCATCGCACGCTCTTCGTGCTCATCACAGCCATTCGGTGACTTCGAAAACACGGTCCTGCGCGAGTTTTCTACATGTTGCATATGTTACGCTTTGCGTAGCCGAGGCTTTTGTCTGATTTCCGTTCGCCAAAAGCACGTGACGTTTGGTAGTTGTGAGTTGTGACGTCGTCTGAAGCTCAAAAAACGTGGCTTGCGGATTCCTCACATCCTGAAGCCATGTTTGTTGCTACCAAGCGCTGTGTACTTTTGGTGCTGTTTCGTCTTTGCTATTTTCGGTGATGTGCTTTGCTCACTTTTTGGGGCGGGGGGTCGGGTGGGTTGAGCGGGGTTCATGACGTTCTGTTTCACAGTAAATACCTGTGGAGCACACGAGAAAAACCTTGAAGTCTGCAAGAGGAACATCCCAGTAGCCTTACGCTGCAATCCTAAACTAAACCACAAAACGACGGACCCCCAACGAACGAAACGACGGCAGGAGGAGGACGTGGCCGGAGGCACATGCACCCCCCCCCCAGCCCCCCCCACCCGCCCCCCCGCGCTGTGCCCACCTACGAACGGGCGAAAGGTTCGGGACGAGTAGGGTTCAGATACACACCGTCGTTGTCGCAATCGCGGCAGCAAGCATCCACAAGACACCACGCACATAGCATACACCACCGTAGTAGCAATTGCAGCAGCATGAGCAAGACTCAGCACGCGACCTAGTCCTTGTGAGCGTCATCAAGTACTAGCCAGAAAACCCTTACCAATGAAAGTTCTTTCCCCACTACATAACAAGACGAAACCCCGAAAACAAAGACTAAAAACTGCCCCCGGAACTGAACCTGCAGGGATGCAAATGGATCAGGAGTTTCAGTACTTGTTTCTCCGCGGAGTTTCCAGACAGGTTAAGCTTCTCAGTTGACATTGTGGAAGAGTAGCAAACCTCAGCTGCCAAGGTCAAAGAAGGTCGCTGAAATGGGTCAGGATGTGGTGGCCTTGGGCTTCCCCCTTGGCCAGAACTCCCTGAAGATTTCGAAAGGCCGGGAAGGGTGCAGATAGTGTCATGGAAGTGTCCACAGCATTCTTGCCTTGAGGCAGCTTTGTTGATGATTCTCTCGTGGTTTGGGCCATGACTGCCCTAGGCCATCATCGTCCTAGCCACCAACTCCTCTAGAATCTCGAGACCTCAATAATCAGGGACCTGTGACTTGCAGCCCGGCATGAATACAGCTTCTCGGGGTCACGTATTGACAACGTCTGTGCATTCTCTCTTTGGCCCCCCAAGCCAGCCGTTTTGATCCGAATCTCTCGTGAGTTTGGAACTTGCTTTCCGAGTTATTTCGTGCACCTGACGTGCCGAAGTCGGGGCCATCATTTTCTGGTTTCCCCACTGTGCAGGCAACGTCGCTGGAAATGAGTTCGTCAACAGCAACCTTTGCATCCAGCCTTTGCCTCAGAAGAGAAACAGGGGCTGTTTGTGCACGTGTCGACCTGGATCGAAAACACAATCCAGTTTTGGGTTGTTGCGAGGTCCACTGCTCCAATTTCGCCAGGAAACAGCCAGCTTCCCAGAACCACGCTCGAGCATATTGCATGTAAGAAAACCGCTAGTGCGCGACACCCATGCACTACGGAGTAAGGGAGGTAGCATTGCCCGCTTGCTTGTAAGCGGCAATCAGGCGGCGGCCCTCTCTTGGATGATGCTGGTTCAGAGGCACAGACCGTGCGGATTGAAGGGTTTTTGGTCGCGGCTGCGGATTCACTCGCAAGCTCCAATGTTGCGGGCTTGTCTGCAGGTTCTTGGTGTGAACTTCGCAGGTGCTACTCGAGGTGTGGGGCTAATGCTCGGAAGCGCTTTGGGACCAAATCTCGACTCTAATGACTGGAGGTGAGAACATCAATTATGTGATCCCTGCCTTCCGGGTTCAGGCTGCAGTGACTCCAGCCAGATGTCTGCCGTTTGCAGCCCAACATGCCAGGCGCTCGTCAACCTGCACCTGAAGGATCGGACACGTTGACCCCTTCCATGTATTATCACCAAAGGAGTCAGATCGTTTTTGGATCCATTTGACAGGCAGTGTAGTACTTGTAACTTATAGTTGCAACCACCGTGGATTTGATGACTTATGGCTACATCTGTCTGACAGCAGTCCTGTGTTCGGGAGCCATGCGGACTTCCAGTGTGAAGAGGGGGGCCAATGCTTCAGCTAAGCCGTGCATGGTGGGCTTGGTGTTTGTGCTTTCGGCAGGTCCCCGAGCTTGGATGGGTTAAAATACTTTGAGATTCTGCTGACTCTAAGACCGCGCTCACCTCATGGTCACAAAGAGGTGGCCAACCAAGAGCTGCGCCTGACAAATCTGGAACATTGCTTTCAGGAGCAGCTAGGAGCTCCGTGGCGTCGCTTGGGCTGCTGCCTTACTTGGGCTGGCTTGGCTGTAACTGCGAGAGAAATTAGAAGTGTCCTAGTCAGTTTAGTATGGCCAGGGGGATGGAAGTGTGTGGCATTTTGGTTCGTGGGGCTCCAGCCGCCGAAAACCGAGGCTTTCGAACACCTGGGCACGGCCTCACCACGGTGCATCCGAACCAGGCGTGCAGCTGCGAAGCTCAAAAAGGAATTGGTGGCCTTCGCTTGGGCGCTGAGAGGCCCTGTACAATTTTACCGCGGGCTGCAAGGACCTGTGTCAACCTGAATCACTGAACCGGCAACCTGTCCTGGGCCATGCATGGTCTAGTTGGCGCACATCGTCACTGAATGCAGTGCAGTAAGCAACCTTTTGAGGAGGGCGTGTACATCGGCCGTGTTCGGCAGGATGGCTTCATGAGCAAGGTCCGGGCCCCATGCCTGAACACATGGATGTGCGAAAAGCCTGTCGTCCCGTCGACTCCGGATCTCAGGCAAAGCCGGAAATCCGGCCTGGCAGCATGCTGGTGGCAGCGAAGTTCTTAGTTTGCCCGCTCTGTGAGGCTCTGTGCGACATGATGTCTGCTTAGCGGTGGCAGGTGTGTAGGGGTGGGAGCATTGGTACGTGTCGCAACAAGCTACCAGCTACCAGTAACATCTCGAGGTCAACGGAAAGGCCTTGGATGGGTTTGGCAAAGCCGACATCAAGGAGCTCATGTTGGGCAAGGTACGCAGCAAGCGAACGTCTTGCGATTATGCATGCTCGAAGCCGATCAGGCTGCCTTAGACGACCTCTTCTTCATCCAGCCAGACTTGGAAGCGGAGGCGGTTGCATGTGTATGCGCGTTGCTGGTTGTCGATGTCTCTACGACGAGGTGTCTTTCGAGACTTGCTTCAAGGGCACAAAGCGTCTTCACAAGGCTTGGCTTTCAGCGCTGGCGTCGCTGTGGCGTTTCGTTCCCTATGAATGTGTTATGCAGGTGAGCACCATCAGGACACCTGATTTCGACAAGGCAAGGCCACTTGCACAAGTGCAGAAGGCGTCTGCCTGGTGCGTGGTGCAACAACCTTCAGGGCATCAGGTACGTCGACGAGCCAGTGACCGAGGGGCTGACGCAGCAGTATGCCCGGCGCCCGGGTAATTCTTTCTGCTATTGCACAGCCGGCATGAGCTGAGAGGAATGACAAGCATGTGGTCGACAACACGGCAGTCTTATCGAGTAGCATGGCATCGTGAATTCAAGTTCATGCTAGCCGGATTTTGGGGAATCTGACGAAGCCAGAAAAGAAGTTAGCCCCAGGAAATCTTTGGAGACATCGGCGCCCTTTGACTGCACCACTGGAAGTGATGGATACCGGTGTCCCCGGTGCTTCCAAACTACTTTTCTCAGCTGAGGTCATGTCAATGACCCAGAACCATGTCGGGGAGGCAAAGCGAGCGCAGCGAGAGCGGCAGAGCAGCTCGGAGACTCCAGCGTTCGAAAGCCAGCGGTCGAAAGCGGTCGCAAGGCCTTGGCCAGGACTGGCTCTCCACGCATTTCTCGCTGGCTTCTGCCAGACAAAGCCTCCGAGCCAAGGCTCATGTCAGTGGCCCAGAGCGGGCTTCAGCACCCGTTGCACCACGTTGCGGCCTAACACTGCGTTGCATCTCCATTGTCTACTCAGGGTCATCTATGTGCGGCCTGGAAGCTATGCAAGCGCAGCTTTGAAGCAGAGATCGCTTGCTCTTGACAGACGCCAGTTTTCAGCAACCAGGAGTATGAACCTGAACCATCGTGAACCCGTAAGCCTGCAAAAGTGCAAGGAAGTCATTGGAGAAGGCTCTGCCGTGGAGAAGGCGCAGAGCCTACGACATCTTACGACGCTCTTAGACGTTCGAAAGGACTTCTGTAGCTCTGACGGTGTCATGGGTTCAGCCTTCTCAGCGCCATCTTGGCAGCGATCATCGGCTCGACAGCGTGTAGAGCGAAGAAGTAGATGAAGGAAACGGCTCAGCCCAGCAAGCATCCTTTTCGATTCGGGAGCCTGGCATATTTTCAGAGACAGAGGTGCTAGTAGGAATCCGGAATCCGGCAGCACAGCCTTGACGAGAGTGTCTGTTAAGACATCGCAGTGATCTTTGCGATGGTGGCCTCTGCGGTGCTGGTCACCGGCCTTCCCGGGTGTGGAAAAACCACGCTGCTGCGGGAGCTGCTTTCAGATGGCACAATGCGTGCTGCCGACGCTTTGAAGCAAAGAACACAGAAGGAGCCACCTCCTCTCGAGCTGCCGCACTCACCGCACGAGATCCCAGAGTTGAGGTTTGCATTCATCGCCATGCACGTGCCTTTGGTCTGGTCAGCAGCTCAGTTCGAAATACCAACACACAGCGAAGGCCATCCCAAGTCAAAGGGGGATGGTAGCAGTTGACGCGTGTTTAGTATTTACACTATTTACACACCAGAAATCAATCGCATGTTCCTTTGCTCGCAGACTTGTTCACAGTGCACCCGGTTACATGGCGGTTTCAGGAGACTTCGCCGCTGACGGAGGGCGGGCTGCGTGGACCCCACTGTAGAATTCCAAAGCAGACTCGGTCCCATGCCTTCCTCGAATCCTTCAATTTTGGCTCTCTGAAGGCCTTGCGTGCACTACTCAGAAGTTTTTGACTTCGGTTCAGGACCTGTCCCGGGAAAGCTTGGTTGTGACAGCAGTGCCACGTCCTTAGCCTTGGGAAGTGAAGGATGCCTCTGCTGCTCCCCGGACGGGGACCTCTCGCGATTGCTGAAGGACCTGTGTTCCCGACAATCTGAGCCACTTGTCTTGACTAGGCAGCAAAGCGAAAACAAGGATTCGGCGGGAAATATTTAAATACTGCTGTGCGCTCAGGTTGCAGCTGACTCATCTTTTTATAGTTTCCTGGCTGCATGGCCACAGACCGTTGCATCCTGGATGTCTGCACCTTAATGCCAACAGGGTTGGCTGTTGCTTCAGGAGACAACCGGAGTCGCAGATCCTCAGCCCTTTGTCCGAGTGTTCGAAAATGCCACCCCGCAGCACGAAATGGACTAGTGAGGGTTTGGCCGAACCTGACATATCCTGACACGTGTCTTTCATCATCTGGCTCGAAGGAATACTTTGCGCAGTACTTTGCAATGAAAGCGGTCGTTTGCGTTGTGGACCTGGAGCGCGTTCGGAATATCCTGAACGAGCCAAAGGAGATCTTCGGGTGATCCTCAACATGTCAACATGCTGACGGCAGTAGGATCAGAAACATCAGAGCTTGCACACAATCTTGCACTTCCTCATGCAGGATGCAGGCACTCCAGGCGCAGGACCTCAGCTTCAGCACGGCATGCACGGCGAAGAGCTGAAGCATGGAGCTGGTTATGCAATGAAGCGAAGCAAGCAAGCTTGGAGGGGATGTAGCGTGACACGAAGCCAGCACCAAGCTTCGCCATCCACTCTTGTGGCAGGATCTAGAGGCGCTGCCCAAATTAAATGCGCCGACGTGCTCGTCCTCAACCACGTGGATGAGCTCCAGAAGTTCCATGGCACACAGCTTTATGTTCTGCTAAGGTCCGCCGCAGAATCAATCAAAGCACGTTTTAGCAGAGTGCAGCTCCAGTCTGATGCTTATGAAGATACGAGGCATGCGCGAGAGTCCAAAGAGGCTCAAGCTCGTGGCGTCCGAGATCTGCTGTTGCAGCACTCTGATGACAGCCATGCTCCAGAAATTCTGGGGCCTTGCAGCTTTTGCGAGCTGGGGACTCTTGTCTGCCTCCATTTGCGCGTCTGCATTGAGGAATCCTTCCAAAATCCTTGCCTTTAGAACTCTATCAGAGGCATCAGGGACCCATGGCGCTCAATGCAGTTTCTCGATGTCGAGGGCCTTCCGAGGTGCTGCAGGGCGGCTTGAACATTCGGGGATGTTTGCGGGGGAATCCTTGGTTGCATGACGTGGTTCTCAAGCCGGAATGTTCATCGAATTTCATCGATAGGCGGTGAAACTTGTGACAGAGACATAAAGACGGGCCCTCGAGGGCGAACTTCGAAACAGATCACAGTTCAGGCTTCGGGGTGGAATGGCTCTGAGTCTGAGTTCTTGGTCTCTGCAACCAGGTTCGGTCATTATTGGCTTATCGATGTGTCACGGATCCTCCAACAGCATGTTGACATCTTCGAGCATGGTGAAAGCTACGACCCCTTCAGGTGGCTAACTCTGCTGCCGTGCCCCCCTCGAATTTCATGCAGCTCAGTGCAAGATAGGCATTGCCGTCTTTGTGCCGACAGATCAGAAAGTTTGGCATCAGGGCCTGCATCAGTAAGACATGAGACCATGACTGAGCCGAGATAGCAGGTATGAGCGCAGGTCACGTGCTTTTTGATTTTGCCTTCAGAGAAAGTGCAGAGCCTTGCACTCTGTTCGAAGGTTGCGCTTCGGGCCCGGCCCCGGGCACGATGCCGCCTGCAGCACTGCCTGCCTCGTGAGACCGAGGCGTGGCAAAGGACCTAAGGACCTAAGGCCAAGCAAGAAGCATCGCTGCTTATGTGCTCGAGCAACATCAAACTTGCCTGCGTCCTCAAGGCTTGGAATTCAGATGGTTTGGATTCAGACCTCGGGTGTTGTTGCAGGGGCGGCGTCTGCCTTGATGCCGCCTTGGCCATGCTGCAGCTCCTCTTGGACTCGGGGCAGGTGCGAGCTGAGAGAGGGTACTGTAGGTTTCTGACCATTACCATTGTAGTTGCCACTACAGGCTCAATGACCCTAGCATTGTCATCAATACTTGGTGGAAACCCTAAACCCCTAAAGCCTAAACCCAGATCAGAGAACCCAGAGTCGAAGTTTGTCCCATGAGTCCGTCTTAGGCCCGTCGAAGGTTGGAACTCGGGGTCTTCTGAGGTATTGGTGCGGTTGGCGCTTATGGGCTTTAGGGATCTGGGGGTAGGGTTGAGGCTTAGGGCTTGAGGGATTGGTTTTAGGGTTTAGGGCTTGAGGGATTGGGGTTCTTTGGGTTCAGAGTTTGGGGGGTTTGCTGCTAGGCTCGCTTCCCCAACTGCGATTTGAGCTTGCAGAGCCCTGTGCGACATGCTTGATGCTAGGGCTCAAGCTGGCCAGTCGGTTTTCGACTGCCGGCACAGGTTCAAAACAGGATAGTTTTCTGCTTTCCGGGGTTCGCTGCGATGGCCTCGGTTTGGAAGCACGTAGCTTCTGCTGCAAGTGCGCTGTGCGACAATAGGGTTTTCACGTCGAGCACAGAGAATATGCTCAAAGAACAAGTGCTCCAGCAGCAGTCCGCTCTCGAAGAGCTGCGGAACTTGCTGAACCATGAGCAAACAATCTCACAGGAGTTGCGAGCGCAGCTGAAAGAGGAGAGAAGGAGAGCTCAGCTGAGCAGCCCCGAGCAGCGGCATGCGCGGCACACAGAGGCGGCCCTCTTGGAAGCTCTCCTTGCAGACAGGATCAGGCTGGCCGACCAGCTGCAGGAGATGAATTGCAAACTCCAAGCTAAGCACAAGGCGCAGAGCTGCAGGAGATGAAGCGCAAATTCCACGTGCAAGGCTCAGAGCTGCAGCAAGCCCACGCCGAGCTGGAAAAGGTCAAGGCAGAGCTCCACGGAAAGCAGATCCACTTGAATGTAGCTCGCGACTCCGAGAAGAAGCTGCTAGGCGCTCTCATGGAGCGTGTATCTCACCTGCTGACGGCCCGCGAGGCTGCGAGTGAAGGAAGCGACCAGAAGCTCCCCCAGGACTTAGATGTGGTGCAGGCGGAGAAGCCTGTGAAGGAATGGCAATCCGCGAAGACAGAGTTGCCGATTCAGATTGCAGCTCGTGGGGCTGCAGAGCTCCGGCAGGAGCTGGAGGATTTGCAGCAGAAGCTGGAGCATGAGGAAGCTGTGAATAAGCTACAACATGGATCATTCATCAGATTGTACAATCGCCATACAGCCTTTGAGGCTGAGGTCAGACATTTTTTGCAAAAGCTAGGACAGAGGCATCCTGACCTTGCATGTGATTTCGCATCTGCATGTGGAGATGCGCATGCGAGCTGACAGCCTCTGAAAGTTAATGGAGAACGACTGGCATCCGTTGATGCCCTGTATTTTTGTTCTGTAGGCAAGAAGCTTCAATAGCCGTTTTTGCCGACGATCGCCGTCAACATCCTTTCACAGCTCACACTGATGTTGCAAGGTTCAATCACTTCGTCTCACCAAGGGTGTTCTTCGTGTAAACGCCAGCACGCTCTCTTTATGAATCTCTCTCTCTTGCAAAAAGTCAGTTATTAAACGCACAATAGTTTCAGAATCGCTTGCAACCGCTCCTTGCTGGAGAGGCCTATCGCATTCAAGGCTATCTGTCCTTCCTGCCGAAGGACCTCGAACCAAGTCTGAGGTCTGGCAGCCGCAGTTTGTGCTGCGTAGGCATATTTACCCTACTCTACCCCGACTTTGACGTGCTCGAATCAAGGACTGAGCAAGCCTCTGCTTCCAGTTTTCCGCCGCCACTGGAAAGACTCTGGGCGCTTCCCATGGTCGTTGTGGAAGGCTTGTGCCTATGTGATTTGAAGTGGCCTTTAGGCACCGTGGGACCTGCAGCAGCAAGCACTGGCAGAGGCTGATCTTAGCTCTGGAAAGATTGGTAGATTGGTCCCAATGCATTGAGCAACTTGAGCAAGACTCCTGCAAAGTCTTTCAGCATAGTTTGTCACACCAAACGTCAGGCATCTACCGAGGGCAGCTCCGAATCCGGGCGGTGACTTCTGTGGCAGCCCCTGGCAGTGCGCTGGAAGCTGCGGAGGGCTCCAAAATCCCGTGGCAGGTGTGGCTTCTTCTCCCCGTCTGTTTAGGGTTTGTAAGTTGGGTGGGTTGAAGCTTGCAGCTAACTCCGAGGATTTCCGTTCTTAGGGTGCCCAACACTAACGACTCTGAAGGAAACTGCCTTCGACGCAGCAGCTGCCGCATCTTGGCGACTAGTCGCAGGCCATCGTGACTGGCGAGCCTCCGTTATTCAGATCCTAAGAGCAGCATCATCCCGAGATGCATCCGTACTGACAAGGCTAGCGGCTAGAGCATTCCCAAGCTGGGCCACCTAAATATCCTACAAAACTAAGAAGCTTGAAGGTCCGCTTTCGACTTGAGGGTCCACAGTGTGGTTTCAAGGCTCTGATTGGGTGAACTAAATCGTCGTGATCGGTCGGTAAAAGAGCGTCAAGCTCCAAATTGGAGATGTGATGCCAAATCTTCCACCTGCAGCAACAGAGCTTCCACTGCAATTTAGGACCGTGGCGGCTGCAAAGTTTTTCTGTGTGGCGCTGCACTGGATGAGACTACTTTGAAGCTCTGGTCGCAATGTGTCGTCTCTGTTGATGCTTGGTTTTGTGGCTGCCACGAGACGAGGAGGGCTCAACTGCAACAGTGTGCCCAGCATGGCTTTGATGGCCCGGACGCTTGGCCATAGTTTGGACCTCTCGATTTGAGCTGCCCGGGTTCTGCATATAGCTGCATAGCCTATAGTTCACAGAGGTCCAGGGATCCCAGCTTTCTCTGCCACTGGCATAAGGTCTGCAACTTGGCAGAGGCTTGGCCGGATGCCGCCCGCGCGACTCGGAGGAAAGAGGTGCTGTCTTCGGGGACGAGCCGGTTGGAGCCACGGAGCTGAGGCCATCGACGACATTGAGCAATCCGTCGCAGCAGTCCTTCAGCGTGGTGTCGGTCTCGATCGGCAAGGCAAGGCCCCAAGAAATTCGCGTCGCTCTGCGTAAAGATGCGCAAAGCCGCAAAGCTGTTGCAGATATGACATCGGACAAGGTCTTTAAGTGACTTAAGCTTCCACCAGGCTCTGCGGCCCCAACTGGGGACAGCCGCTCTTTGGCAGAGGCCTTTGCGGTCAGCTACGCGACAAGCTTGTACGCGGCTCTGGAGCGCCCGGAGATGTCTGAGAGCGAGCCTCACGAGCTGCGCTGCACGGGGTACCGACGACCCGGGCGGCGGTGCCAAGCATCAGAGGCTGTGGAGGCGGGCGGTCCGTGATACGGCTGCATGCAGTCGTTTGACCCGTTCATTTGTCGTCAATTTGATTGCAGTCTTGTACCAGAAGGTCAGTTGGAACAGAGCCACCGGCAAAACCACGGCACCTGACAGCTGCAATCAGATCTTTCTCTCATGCGAAGGGTGATCGATGGGAGGGTTCTCTCGACCGTCGAATGCTGTAAGGTGCTTGCCGCTGGGCCGATGCCCGTTGCTACGCAGGAGACGCATTTTCCCATGGTCGACAAGCACGGACCGTTTGCGCAAGTCGATGGTAATCAGAACATAATGCACGTACATTATACTATTACACTACGATATATTATGGTATAATGTAGCCTAATCATATAACATGAATCTATCTGTCTGTCTATCTATCTATCTATCTATCCATCGAGCCATCCATCCATCTATCTGTCTGTCTATCTATCTACAGTATCTATCTGCCTATCTTGTCGATCGATCTATCTATCTATCTATCTATCTATCTGTCAATCAATCTATCTATCTATTTATCTATCTATCTATCTATCCGTTTATCTTTTTATCTATTTATCTATCTATCCATCTGTTTATCTATCTATCCATCTGTTTATCTATCGATATATCTATCTGTCTATCTATCTGTCTATCTATCTGTCTATCTATCTATCGATCGATCTCTCGATCTGTCGATCGGTCGATCTATGTATCTACCTACCTTCCTAGCTATCTGTCTGTCTATCTATCTGTCTATCGATCTATCTATCTGTCTCTGTCTGTCTGTCTGTCTGTCTGTCTGTCTGTCTGTCTGTCTGTCTGTCTGTCTGTCTGTCTGTCTGTCTGTCTGTCTGTCTGTCTGTCTGTCTCTCTGTCTCTCTATCTATCTAGCTATCTAGCTATCTGTCTATCTCGCTATCTATCTATCTACCTATTTATTTATCTATCTATCTCTGTGTCTCTCTGTCTATCTATCTACCTACCTACCTACCTACCTGTCTGTCTGTCTGTCTGTCTGTCTGTCTCTCTGTCTCTCGATCTATCTATCTATCTATCTATCTATCTATCTCTCTATCCATCTACCTATCTATCTAGCTTATCTATCTTATCTATCTATCTATCTGTATCTATCTCTATTCCACATGCTTTTAATTTCTATTTCTTTTGCTGTTCCTGCATATGTATATAAGTGCGTGTGTATTTACGTACAGACACATGTTATAGAACAACATACTGCAGCGAAATATGCCAATATGCACGTGTGTTAATCTTACATATGCAATAGATACGTCTACGCGTCGTGTGGACGATGCAACGCTCGTGAGGACCAGACGGCTTACGGCGGCCTTCGCTTCTGTGCAGCTTCGCCCTCCAGCTCCGCCCAGTACCACACCCTTGTGCTGGGCAGCGCTTTGTTGGCAAAGTGAGATCTTCTTTGGGATCTGGCCCGCCTTGCCACACCGATGAGTTGTTTTCGCAATCGTAATGACTCTTTGTCTCTCGTTGCGTGGGCATACTGGGCCATTACCGGGCGACTCCATGTAGTCAGATGGGTCACTGCGTCATCCGAACCTTGATGTTCCTTGAGGTGAAGTATTCTGCAAGCTCCCAGTCTGAGCTCAGAGACCCCTGCTTGTGCGGAGATAAAGACACGCTTGATGCCCCGTCGCCTGCACATCGCCAGACAGTGCCGTCGTCACAACAAGCCAGTTTTTGCGAGCATCCTGACGTGTTTCCAAAGTGAGAGGTGAACGGCAAAGTTGTCCGAACGCTGGAGGAGCCTTTTGAAAGCTGTAGCCTGCCCATCCGCTGTCACCTGCTGATCTGCTGGCATTACCGGCGAGGACTTCCGAAAAGCCATTGTGCCGGACGCAGAGGATGATATCTGGACGCTCGAAACCGACTTGGGGCTGCTCTTGGCCACGCCTTTCAAGGCCCATGTCTGCATCCGCATTATTACTTTGCAGCTGCAGCATACCATCATTTTCATCCGTCTGTGCCATGACAGAGTTATGCGTTGATGGCTTCGCAGTGGTGGCTTTGCTGTGAGGCAACCCTGTCTGCTCAGCTTGTGAGTGGTGCCGCAGAGCCTTACCTCCTCACACCGGGCATCAAGCAGGCAAGGGCTGGCCCGGATGCAGCTGTGAATGCGTGGATAAGGGACCCTGCAGCAAACACTGTAATCTTCTGTCGATTCAATAGATGTTTGATCTCGAACAAGCAGTCAGGCATCATCTTGTGTGGAAGCCAATCTTGGCCGCAGCTGTTCTACACCAAACTCATGAGCATGCGAGCCACACCTAAGAGTCTCATACACAAGACAGGACCAGAGCAACGTTGCGAGACAAGCTCGCCATTGGAGAAAATCAGGTCCTTGAACATCAGGCTCGCGACAAAGGCTTCTGATGCGGGAACGGCGTGGCCATAAGTGCACCCAATAGCACCACTAGCTCACACAGGTCAATGCAAGTTGTTTCCATCGCTGACTCACGTGATGCGGGCCTTCGATGCATAGGATTGCGCCGATAATGGAGGACGAACCACTGCCTCCTGCTATCGAGGCCGTCTACGTCGAACCCTGTGTGCGTGTGTGTTTGTGTGTGTGTGGGGATTTCATGATGCACGTATATCTGCGTAGTACACGCCATTACACGCCCCAGACAAAGAAACTATGTAAATGTTCGTTGCCCACGCATACTTTCACACATGCATACATACATGCATAGATACATACATACATGCATAGATACATACATACATACATACATACATACACAAGCCATCATAAACAATCAAAAGCCGATGGATACACACGTTTACCTTCGTAGTCCAGTAAAGACGTCGTAGCGACGGCAATAGTAATGAGTACGGCTTCGTGCCTGTATACGTGCATACATATACAACCTTACAAGGTCAAGCAATCAGACTGCATATGTGCGTGTACGCCCGTGCATACTGCAGACATGCGCTTTTGCGTTCTTCTGTTGTTCCGCATTTCTGCACTGTTGAACTTCTGCCCGTCTGTCCTTCTTCAATTCAACCTTGTGCAGTACTGATGATATGCTGTGAAATAATAGAAGCATGTGATCGAGCAAGCTTCGCAAGCATATGTGTGCATATATATATATATAAACCTGCACAGGTGGATGTGTATATATACATATTGCACACATGCATATACACATGATGTGGCATACGTTGAAATGTAACAAAGACAGCAATCGACGTGTGTGTGTTTGTCCATAGCATACATATCAGGATTTATGTGGTTGCATGTGTACATGCAGTGGATGCGTCGCAGAACATGTTACATGTAGCTGTATCTTTATGTCTAGACAGAAGCATACATGCATGCATACACACACAACAGCACTGCGAATTGCAACAGGACTCTTCTTTTCAGATTGCTTTGGCCTCTTTGGCAGACTTGAGTTACCTTGAATGCAATGGACACGTGATGGCATTCGTTTTAGCAGATCTAGCACCAGCTCAGACCGAGGTTATCAAAAAGCATGGATCAGTTCGCACTCTGTGCCGAGCTTGGCCATGCCGGGTCAAAAGGATGGGAAGCACGTGGCTGGTCAAAGTATTGACTGTGCTGACTGCAGTTGTCGAAAGGTGCATGGGCACAGCATCGGCGAAGACCTGGAAGATGTCATTGTCCAAAGGTCCCTGGTCATCTGAACTCATATCTTCCTGATTGGCTACCTCCGTAGAGACAGGTGTAGAACATGCGCATGCGAAATCTCTCGACGGACCGAGGACTTTCTTCTTCGTCCCACGGTACAAGTGGAGGTCCAGACCAGGCTCTGATAGCGCGATGGAGAAGAGCCGTTGCCCTAGCGCACAAGTTGAAAGTTTATGCTCAATCAAGAATGCTGTGATCCACCGATCCGCCAGTTTCGGGCAGCAGGATGTCGAATGATGTCGAATGTCTCAGGATTTGGCACCTCCAAATTTGAAGTGTTCCGAGTCCTGGCCGCGAGAAGACGGGTTGAATGATGTAGCACTATCATTTGGCAGGTGGTGTCCAGCTCGGTTGACTTGTTTCTACAAACCTCCTCGTTTACTTCCTGTGGAAACGTTGGCACCGACGTGTTAGTAGGGTAATGAGCACTGGTGTTCCAAACACACCGCCGACCCTGGTGAGGATCTGCTTTCTGTCGTTCCAGCGCAGTCATGGCCGGAATTTCTATTGTGCTGGCGGTTGTGGCCATCTGGCAAGAACAGTGGGTCCGAACTGCCTTGCTGCTTGGGCCACTTGGCTGCCTCAGGGTCACACGCACGAAGCCAATGTTCATTGAATGTTCGTACTCACACAGAAAGGTTATAGTACATATATACATGCATACTTGTTTATTTCTGTTTATGATTATGATTTGTATTTAGATCTGAATCAGATATTGGCTTATATTCAGAATATATCTGTTAAATCATATATGTATATATACATACAGACCCTCTCCGCATGGGCCTAGCCACATCGCGGGTGGGAGCATTCCTGCGCTTACTGAATACTAAGAGAAAAACAGGGGAATGGCAATATATTGACAGTGCTGTTATGTCGCGCGCTCTCACAGTTATAGTGCCTCTGTTTTCTGTTAACAGCTTAGAAAGCCATTACCTCACTTCACTCGCTGTGTTGATCCGATGCACTCGCAATTGTATTTCCATGGCTTGCAGTGGTTCGAAACCACTTGCTCAGGTTCATTCTGCCCCTCTACGTGATGTACAGTCTCCAAGCTGCAATTCAGCCCCTGCTTTGCGATTGTGCCTATAAAGCGGCTTCCCCGTTCACGGGACATGCCGTGCAGCCAGGCCTCATCACGTGGCAATGCCTGTCCGTCTGGCAGCGCTTGTCGGAGTGCAGGCCGTCCCCTGGAGCATTGCACACGGAAGCACCCATACCCAATCTGTAGCTGTATTGAGAACCAGGCCCTTGCTGGTGCTAACGCTCTGCTTGCAGAGTCTGGGCCTCGGCTGTGATCTCGGTGGCCCTGTGAGGGTCTGCACTTGCTACGTTCTTTCCTGTACTTATTTGGCACTGACTGGCAGCTACTTCTTTCCGCGACTGAACTCATTTGCTGCGATCTGCATGATCTCGTGCGTTGGGGGCCGAAAGGATTACAAAAACTTAAAGCATAAACATCCCACCGGTCCTTATGATACCCCAAATGCGGGATCATTGTGTTTACGAGGTCTCTCTGCCTTGCCGCATCTTCATTGTATGTTAGACTAGCCTACAACAGACGATGTTTTCTCGGATCAGAAATCGATAGTGAAGTGTCGAGCACTATGGCTTCGTTGCTTCGATTTGCTTCGAGATTCGAGGTGTAGCTGTTTCCTTCGCAGAGTGGGACAGATCGCTCTCCACCTCGGGCTTGCTGATGCTGCACACAGCTTTTGCAGCCTGGTGGCAAAATTTTTAAAGTGATGCAACTGGCCTGGTGTTCCCCCTCCGATGAGAGCTGGCACTGAGGTCAACAACTTCAGTCCACTGGGGGTTCTTGAGATCTTCCTAGTGACGGCCATCTGTGGCATACCTACCTACATCTTTCTCGTGTCGCGAACCCAGAAGACTGCACGGAGTGCTTGCTCCAGGAGAGCCTTGCTTGTACTCAGCTTTGGACCTGAGGTTGTTTCCAGACTTTGAAATTTCGCTGGATCAGGCACCTGCTAGATGATGTCCGATATGACAGCGCGGCCTCAGGGAAGGTTTCGAGGGGTGATGGATCTGATGGACGATTTTGCCGTTGGTAAGATGCGCATTGCAGGCTGAACATGACTAAAGCACTCCAAGCGTGTTCTCGAAGCTTTTGTCACTCCTCGGCCTCCTCGCAGCATGGATGTGATGAACAAGCTGGAGTCAGAGCCACGGTCTTCCGCGACGTTCTCCTACCACCTCTTGTGTGCATTTGCCAGCAGCTCGACTGCATGAAGTGATGTTTTGCCATAGAGAGAGATTTGCTTTTGTCTCAGAAGTCAGTCTTATCAGGTTTGCTTTGGCCATATGGCGTGACGAGTCGATGCGTCTGGACCTGCTGCTCCGTGACCAGCTGCGGGCACAACGTGCTTCGGTCGAAGGCTAGCAAAGGAAGCTAAGTTTACTTCGTGTTAAGTGTGCAGCCAGCGTTGTAAATGCGAGCAATGCAGCGGCTTCACTCGCTGCCCTTTCGGCAAAGGTCAGAAGCTAGATCAGGAGATGCGAAAGAGCGAGCACCTTCTGCAAAGTTTACTGCCGCAGGCGGGGACAGAGATCCCCAACTTGAGCATGTTTCACCATCGAAGTCATGCTTGGTGCAATTGCAGGCCATCATCGACTCGCTTAAAGCCCACGAGCCAGTGGACTGCCAGGACTTTGATGATGTCACCGAAACTTGGATCAACATGTGCTGCAATATATAACTTCACTGAAGATTCCGGCCGGAGTCAATCGCCATGTCAGCAGCCACGGTGAGCATGAAGTGCTTGTTGCAAGGTGATTTTTGTTCAAGTGTGTGACTTTTCGACGATCTGCTCCTTGCTGCCACCGAAGACGACCGTGCAAATGTTGGATAAGGCCCACCTAGATGAACCGGCAAAGTGGCAACTCCCGCGCTGTTTCCTGGCTGGTTTCTGCCGCGCATGAGCAGGTCTTCCAGGAATTAGATCGTCTCAGCGACCTGCTGAAAGTGCACAAGGCCTCGCTCGGCTGGCTCTTACAAGCAGAGCTGAGTTCGGAAAGTGCGGTGATTTGTGCTCGATGATACTGAAGATGAACATGAAGATCAGGAGGAGGAGGAGGAGGTGCACGACGAGTATGGTGATGTATGGTGAAGACGAGGATGAAGCCATGCGGTCAATGTTGTGTAACGCACGTGTGCGTGCAGGAACAAGGTTAGGCGGGCGGCCGAGCAGCATCTCGGCTCGCCGGTCATTTTCTGTGTTCCTCTGTCCTTTCCGCCACCTCTCGCCTGGGTCATGGCGTCATCCGGACTCACGCCAGCGCTTGAGGCAGTCGCCGCCCCCGCGTCGCCTGTTGGGGCGGTTGACTCTGGGGCCTCGCCTGGCGTGGGTCTGGACTTTGGCACGACCTCGGCGCCTACTACGACCGCGCCGGGCGGCCTGGTGGATTTGGCATGCTCATCCTGTGCCTTCAATCGGGGAATACTCTTGCGCATCCTGCAACTGGTTCAGGAACGCGATCGCCCTGCATCTTGGGGTTCTGGCAGTCCATCGGAAGACTTGACCACCATTTTCTCAGGTCGCTTGGAGCATGCATCAGCCTTGATGACCCAACCTCGTATGGCTGCATTGGCCGTACGTCACCTTGAATCACGCTGCGACGCCATACTGGCTTCTCTCGAGACCCTGGAGGCTTCATTTCGTGCGGATCGTGATCGTGAGGATCGCCTGGAACCCCCACCCTCCCGGCAGGACTCCCATGGACCCCATGTGAACCCCCGCCCCCCTTCCGGCAGGATCCCCATGTGAACCCCCGCCCCCTCTTCCGGCAGGACCCCATGTGAACCCCCGCCCCCCCTCCCGCAGGACCCCATGTGAACCCCCACCCGCCCCGCCAGGACCCCCATGTGAACCCCCACCCCCTCCGGCAGGACCCCATGTGAATGTGAACCCCCAGCACCCTTCTCTA